AAAGGCCACCTATGCTGCTGTTACTGCAGGAGACCAGAGAGGTCCCAAGATCCCTGCTCCCAACAAGTTTAGGGGTGATGACCCCAAGACCGATGTTGGGGACTGGGCTGCTGGGACCCGAGCCTACTTGAGGGGCTTCGTCTGTGCAGAACAGACCAAGGTGGCGACTGTTCTGGGACTGCTGGAGGGACCCGCATTGAAGTGGGCCACCTCAACTTCCAGCAGTCTGCAACAGTCCATGGAGGACTGGAGTTTTGGGCTGGGGGTGGACAGACTTCTGCAGGCCCTGGAGGACCGATTTGCAGACAAGGAGCGGGCCCGCAAGGCCGCTGACAGGATTGCTCGCCTGGGACAGCAGCTGTACAACGGGACTTTGCAGGCCTTGTTTGCTGAGTTTGAGCAACTCATCTCCACCCCTGGGTTGGTCATGAGCCCTGACGATTTGCTGACCAACTTTTGTAGGGCAGCGCCTGAGAAGTTTGTTGTTGCTCTTTACAGCGCTGGGCACAACGACTGGAGGTCCTTTGGCCGTGCAGCCCTGGAAATGGAGGCAAAGCTCCATGTCCAGGCCCCATCCTCTGACAGGAGGAAAGGTGYCTTCCCTCGAGGTGGTAGAAAGGGAAAGGCAGCCTTCACGCATGCAGGGTCTGCCTCAGGATCAGACTCAGATTCCCAGGCTGATACACCTTCAGCTGGGACTGGATCTGCTGTTGAGACAGATGTTGCAGCAGCCGTGACTCATGCCGTTTTGGGAGCCCTGCAGCTGCAGAAAAAGTTCTCTCCCACCACAGCCTCAGCCAGTGCCAAGGGGAAGGAAAAGGGATGTCGGCCTTCCTCTTCCCAGCGCCCTAATCTGCCCAGAGACGTCCACATGCTAGCTGAACCTCTCAATCCCTCCACACTCCCCTGGCATGACCTCAAGATCCAGAAAGGAGTCTGGAGAAGAAGAAAGGAGAGAGGGGTTTGCCTGAGGTGTGAGGGACCACACTTTTTAAAGGACTGCCCTTACATGCCAGGCCCAGGGCAGTCAAAAAACTGAAACAGACCCTGGGGACTGCAGTTCCCCCCAGTGTTGCACCTTCATCTACTTAGGTGGGTGAATCTGCAGCTGTTTCAGTTGAGACTGCAGGTGACAATGTGAGTTTGGGGACTGCGCGGGCAGCATCCTTCTGCTATGAGGATCCTGACCCGGATCAGGACCCGGGCCTGGATGAGCTCCAGTCTATTGCTGCCTTCTTCCTTCATCTGAAGGAACAGAAGAAGAGCAAGACTGATCTCATCATGCTCCGGCCATTGATCAACAGCACCAGGATCACTGGGTTGTTGGACTGTGGGGCCACCAGGAACTTCATGTCTCCCAGTGCAGTTAAAAAGCTGCATCTGGGCATGAAAGTTCAGCAGCTGCAGCAACTGCTGCTGGTGCGGATTGGTGACTCTACAGTACTCAGCATCAGAGGGAAGGTCAAGGGTATCCTTGTGACCTTCGATACTAAAGGAAAAGTCAGACACAGTCTGGACTTTTATATCTTCTATGAGCTCCCCTTTGATTTGGTGTTCTCCATGCAGTGGTTGAGGGCAGTCAACCCTAGGATCGACTGGCAGATCCCTAGAGTTGAACTACCGGACAGCCAGGGTGTGTATCAGCCATGCATGATCGCTGCTGATCATCACCCTAAGACCTCCTGCTACTGCCTGAGAGCGAGGGAGTTCCATGCTCTCTCTCGCCAGTACCACCATGAGCGTCTGTTTATTGCTCTGGTCAAGCAGACAGATGCTCCCCCTGTTTCCTGTCCTCTTGAGATACAGCAGGGGGTAGACCAGTATGCTGATCTGATGCAGGAGCCCTTTGGGTTACCCAACCGGCCAACCAGACATCACATCAAGCTGCTGCCTGGAGCGGTCCCTCCCAAGGGCCGCATTTACAGGATGTCCCCTGCTGAGCTTGAGGAGCTCAGAAAGCAGCTTGAGACCCTGACCAGCGAAGGCTGGATCAGACCCAGCACATCTGAATTTGGGGCACCTGTTCTCTTTGTACCCAAAGGGAACGGCGAGTTCAGGATGTGCATTGATTACAGGGGTCTCAATAAGATCACTAGGAAGAGTACTGAGCCACTTCCTAGGATCGATGACCTCCTGGACATGGTGCAGGGCTGCACAGTGTTCAGCAAAGTCGACCTCAAATCTGGCTACCACCAGATTGAGATGGCAAAGGAGGATGTCTACAAGACAGCCTTCAAGACCAGGTATGGGACGTACGAGTTCCTGGTCATGCCATTTGGACTTTGCAACGCCCCAGGCACTTTCCAGACAGAGATGCACCGCATCTTCAGGCCTTACCTGGACAAGTTTATGGTTGTCTACCTGAATGATATCCTGGTATTCAGCAAAACTGCCAGGGAACATGCGGAGCACTTGGCTCTAGTTCTTCAGTCATTACGCGACAGCCAGTACAAGATTAACAGAGAGAAGTCCTCTTTTGGAGTTCCCTCTGTCATCTACCTGGGTCATGTAATCTCTGGAGATGGCCTGGCTCCTGAAGCAGCCAAGATTGCTGCTATTCAGGAGTGGCCTCAGCCACAGACAGTGAGGGATGTCAGGTCCTTCATGGGTCTAGCCTCATACTACAGAAAGTTTGTCAGGAACTTTTCTGCAGTGGCTGCACCCCTGACCAACCTAACAAAGAAAGATACTCCCTTTCTTTGGTCCCTTCCCTGTCAGTTGGCCTTCACATGACTCAAGAAGGCTTTGACTCGTGCGCCTGTGCTGAAGTTACCTGACCCCACTTTGCCATTCATCGTGACCACTGACGCCAGTCAATATGACATTGGGGAAGTTCTTCAACAGGATGATAGGAATGGTCTACGGCCTGTAGAGTTTATGAGTAAGAAGATCAAGACTCAAAAGCTCCAGGACTCCACCTACGAGAAAGAGCTATATGCTCTTGTCTGTGCCTTGAAACATTGGAAGCACTTTCTCCTGGGAAGACACTTCAAGATCTTATCAGATCACTCCACCCTGCAGTAGATGAAGTCCCAGGGAGAGTTAAATGACAAATTGGCACGGTACTTTCAGTTCATAGATATGTTTGACTTTCAACTGAAGCATAAGAAGGGCTGCTACAACAAGGTAGCAGCTGCCCTCTCTCGTAGGCCTGACTCTTTTGCTCTGATCTCCTCTACTCACTCCTTTGGAGAGGAGACCCGTCAGACCATTGCTCGTCTACTGCCTCAGGATGAGACTTTCGGGCCCATCGTCAGGAATCTGCAAGCAGATCCTAACTCTGAACCAGGCTATGTTTTGAGTTCAGACCTGCTGTATACTTACAGCAGAGGGGAGGAGCGCTTGTGCATTCCCCAGGACCAGCGGCTTAGGACACTGCTGATGTCAGAGTGTAATGATGTTCGTGGTTGCACTCACGTTTGGACATGACTTCTGGTCATCATCCTGAAGCCAATGGTCAGGCTGAAGTGATGAACCAAGTCTTATTCCAACTGCTGCGTCCTGTCATCTCTCCAGATCAATAGGACTGAGATCTTCACTTAGCGAGGGCACAGCTCATGTATAATATGTTTGTCCACTCCTCGACAGGGTTCAGTCCCTACCGGTTGCATTGGGGACATGAGCCACGTCAGCCTCTCGATGACATCATCGATAAGGCTAAGCCTGATCTGACACTAGGCACCGCAGAGTTCACCAGACGTTATCGTCTAGATGTGGAAAGAGCCCGCGCGAACTTATTCAAAGCCGAAAAGGCTATGATTGAACAAGCTAATCGCCACAGGCGGCCTTCCCCCATCCGCACTGGTGACCATGTCTGGGTGGCCAGCTCTGAGCTGTCGAGGGAGGAGGATATCTCTCCCAAGCTGTTGCCACGTTACCTGGGTCCATGAAGGGTCCTAGACACAAGTGGTTAACGTAATATGTTAGTAAGAAGTGCACTCTATACATTGGTGTGAAGTTTGCTTGGGATGGCCTTATGGTTTTCTTATAAATTGAGGTGAAAAATGGGGGGTCGGTTAACCCTCTCTCAGATACAGTGGGCACTGATCCCTTCGGTCCGTCGTATGTCATCGACGTCCCGTTGCATCTACGTACTACTCGGTCTTCCATGCATCTAAGCTGCTGCCTTTTACACCAGCTGATGCATTCCCGGACCGGCCCCCTCAATTCGGTCCACCAATCCTTGGCAAGGGATATGACGTGGAGTGGATTGAGGATGAGTGGGGCACAGGCCCCGACCGACAGTATCTTGTGAGGTTCGCATTCCAGCCTCCTTCTGAGAACAGATGGTTCTACAAAAGGGAACTTCTCAAGACAGCAAAGTCAGTTGTGTTGCGATATGAAGCGGCTCAGAAGGGCAACCTTCCTCGCCGTTCACCTCGCCTGCACCCCTAGCTCGGAGGTCCTCGCTCCCGAGGAGGGTAAGCCTGCAATGACTTGTTGAATTCTACTGCCGAGATTGACTGCGAGGCTGTACACTAACCGGTAGGGTTATATTCGTAATTTTATTTGGCTGAGGGCTAACCGAGAGACCTGCCTGTAAGGAAATTCGTGAGGGACATGTCTGTAAATCTGGGAAAATACGGGCCCAATACTAACCCGAATTCCTACCGCTACCCTAACTGCCTATAGCAGGCCCGGGCTACCCCTAGGACAGACAGGCCCTAAGCGGCCTATACTGCTAGACGGTCCTATAGCCTATAGCCGGGTCCGGTAGAGGCCGAGAGGCCGAAACAGCAACGGTACCGGTCGGTCAGTCAGTCCGGTCTAGGTCTAGGTAGTCTATAGATAGGTTAGGCCCATCGGTTCAGGACTTTTGGCAGTTCATTTCTCGCGAAGCGGCGTTGGAGAAGCCACGCAAGTTGGTGGCGGTGACGGTCTGCAGGCGGCATCCTGAGATGCATCGTGACAGCAGCCATAGCCGGCCCTCTCTGAGTCTGCCATAGTTGGGGCATCCTCAGCGCACCTACCCCTGGGGGTACCTGCGTATGGCCGGGATGTATCGAGGCTCTACAGTGTGTGTTCGTGGGTGGTGGCAGCCATAGTTGCTTGTTCCTTCGTCAGAGTTATCCATTGGCATTGAAGACTTCATCGCAGGACCTGTTCTTCATCAGGGTGGTTGGCGCTGGCCTCAGGGAGGCCAATCTGATGTGGCGCTACTAACTGGTGTAGGATAGAGAGTGGGGTGTGAGTTCTAAGAGTGGCGAGATACTGGAAGAAACTCTGTCACGATAATTGTTTGAGTGGCTCATCATCAGTGTGAATTCCAATTGTGATCTTCGCAGGTTCTTTCTTGTGATTGGTTGTTGGGAGTTGTGTCAGAGAGTGAGAAACACTGTGTGTCTTCTCCCCATCTGTGCATGATTGTCTTCCGCTGCTTATTTTCACCTGTGTGCAGTTTGGACTCTGTCTCCTCTCTCCCCTTCTCTTATGCATGTATGGGCATGTGTGAGATTGAAAGCGATGCTTGAAAAAATAGAAAAAAGTATCATTGTAGTGATTAATCTTTCTCTAGCTAGCGAG